TAGGTTTAGGCACCAACACTAAATGATAATATTTGGTAAAAAACATCATCATTTGTGTTAAAATATTAAAAGTATGTAACGAGACAACATTTATCAAGGGAATGTGTTGTAGTGAAGTGGGTGCGTCATGTAGCCGGTGAGACTGCAGTAAGCCTTTGAAAAATAAAAATAGCATGAATAGCTGTATGCCGGTTGAAAGGATGTACGATGAGTAGAGCAGCTAATGTTTCCTCTTAGCTCAAACACATTTCACTTTGCTCTCCTCAGGGGGAATAGTTCCCAGTGAGCGTGGCTGCTGTTGGACTGAAGCTGACCCCTGTTCTCCTCTCCTCCTGTTGTTTGTTTGGCCAAAGTTAAATGTGCTATGCACCCGTAGTTCCCCTGTAATTGCAGTTCAACCAAACAGTCCTCTCCCTTCATTTAAACAAGCAATTTATTCCCACCATTCACCAATATACATGGTCAGGGCAGGGGATCAAAACATGTGGTGAGTAGGCATACAGGCTTGCAGTGAGTGAGGGAACAGCGAGGGGTGTTTGATGTGTCGGAGCATTTCATCCACTAATAAGAAGACACTTCTCCAACCTGCTCATCATTTTAGAACACTCGGAGCAAGGGCATTTCAGGCAGTTCTTCAGACTTTCCCCTCTGCTTATTCATTTAAACCTCTAATTAAAATGCAAAGCATTCTCATGGTCCTCTGGATTTGGTGCTGCACTCTTGCACCGCCTCTGACTCCCTATCTCCTCTCCCTTTTTCTCCACTCCCCTGCTAACCCCCACCCTCCTCTTTCCACCTCACCTAACTCCCTGCTCTCATATTCTCTCTGTCTGCCTTTGCTTCTTGTGATCAACACAATTTGACCTCTCACTTGGAAGAAGTGCACAGAATTTAATGGATTTTTTACAGTCTAATCTAACCAGTTCCCTCTTTATAGCTGTTTTGTACCCAGTGGACCTCATCTTTGCCAGCCCTCCACCACCTCCTCCACCCTCACACCAAGAAAATTAGTTCATCAGAATTCAAACTGTACTGCTGGCTAATTAAAGGAGTGTTAATTGAGTGTTCAGAATTGGGTACTCCTTTCACCAGACGCACACACACACTCAAATGCGTGCATACACACAAGCACACATGCAATCACAGTAACGGCACTGGGTACACCAAGGACGTTGCGCTTGGGGAGTTTCATGCCAATCAAAAATGGAGAGAAAGGAGAGTGCCCATCCTCCAAGTGAAATGGGATTTCTAGATCAAATCATGGCCTACTGCGGCTCAGCCCGGCTCTGTGTGCCATGTTATCCTATCGCAGCCTTGCTATCTCTGTCTGGCCGCTGGAGAGTGTAACACTGCATAGATAGCCTCTCTCAATACGTGCATCGTGCTAATGAGGGGTGGCATTTAGAGATGTGCTGCTCTGACACATGGGCATTGTGTGCCAGGCACTGGGTGATTAAGGACGAAGGTCAGCCCATTAATTGCCTCCCTGCCATCTCCGCTCCCTGGCGCGTGATCTCTCAGAACTAATGCATGTGTTTGCCTGAGCTTTTATCTCATCTCCAATGCAGTTCAATCATATGCTTGGTTTGTTTACATTCCTTTCATGTGAAACTGTTTTCCCCTGCTTATTGTTAAAGCAGTGGTAGGCCAGGTTCTCTGTTCCTTTGCAAAAAGATGTTTCATGTGCTTGTGAGTGCACATAGACTCCTGCTCACAGGAAGGGAACAAACATATTCTTGCATCCCCAGGGAAATAATTAATCCTTACAAGGCTGTCGCATGTTGAAATGAAGCGAGTGTGAAGCATTTAGCCCAGGAGGCATTGCAGGCTGTCGCCCGCACAGGCACCTGTTGTTGTCCCTGCCCTACATTTCATGAGAGAGAGCTGAGCAGAGGATAACAACATGCTCCACTGATGGCAAATGAGACACACAACTGCAGATGAAGGTTTGTGTGTATTTTAGCCTTTTTTCTGTTTTCCTGCAATGCGTTAGCATGCACGGCGAGGCTGGAGAGTGTGCACAGGTGCAGGAAACCCCCTACCTTATGAGGAGGTGAGGGCTCACACAAAGGAGGCAGTGCTGGCTGCCTCAGAGGCTGTTTATCAGCCAGCACCATCTGTATGCTGCTGCTCATAGCTATGATCTACTGCAGCCTAAACCAATAAGTCACAGAGTGCCAGCCTAAAAAGAGACTCTCTCCTTTAACCTCGATGTCCTCACTTATAGACTCACTGCTCTGGAGGAGAGAGATGTGGGGACCCTGCACATCAAACACACACAGTGTTCCACTGAATGTATGGGATTGAAATTACGCCCCGGTTTGTGGGCATACTTACTGTAATCAACTTTGCTATAAAATGTATACCATGGAACTTTTTATTGAGGGGGCTGGAATCAGAAGCATCCAGATGCTCATTTGCCTCCTCCTCCTCTTCTTCCTTTATGCCTGTGGGTTCTAATAACCGGAAGCCTTTGTGGAGCTGAGATGGGTTTTGTAGGCCTGAAAGGCCTCTAATCCCTGTGGCCTATGAAGTGTGAAACCCTTTGATGCCAGGTTGGTGTGCCAAAGGCTCTGCCTATTGACAAACAAGGGCCAAGCTGGGAAAAGACGGAGGGAGAGGGCTTTCTCGTCTCTCGGAAGAAATGCAGGCTCAGGCATGGAGAATATGGACTCAGTCAGTGAGAAGGAATAGAATTAGCCACCCTTAAATGAATTTCCTGGCTGTTTTTATAGTTTTTTCCTCACGTGGCAGTAATTAGGTGGAATGATGGGCATATTGCAGCTGGGGGCTTGTAGGGGCAGCAGGGCACAGGGCCTTGATATGCCTGAAAGCCAAGTATCTTTCCTCATTTAGACCATGTGATGATCAAAGATGTTTTTTTGCCCTCATGTAAAGAAGATCAGAAATTATGCTGCCATTCCATTTGCATGTGGACCAGCAGTGTGCTTTGAAATGAGCATGTTTTTATCTTCTGAGCAAATGAAATAAGTCTTCTGTCAGTTTTCAAATGCAAGTCAGAACATCAAAGCAGATGGCAGTGGGGGAGCAGAGCTCTCCCTCAGAAAGGTTGGTTAGATCTTTGATAGGCTGGACTGGCACACTCAGCCTTGCCCATTAGGGTGGCACCAGGATATCATTCTGATTTAAGTTATTCAATCAACTCTATTTCTACAAATGTAAAATATAATTTGAAGTGCAGTGTCTCTGATTTAGAGATCATGTTGTCGATAGTCAGAAATAGGTCTTGTACTTAATTTGGCTTGGGATATTCACTGTCTCTCCCCTCTGCTGTTAAATTCCCAATTTATTCCTTTTATGATATGGATCTTGTAGATTTAATCATTTTCACAGTTGGAGACCCAAAGGGTTGTTGAAATGAACTCCCCATGCTATCTGTAATGGGACCAAAGAAATGAGAATTGTGACTACTTGGCTGTGGAGTCTCTTTATAATGAATTTGCAATCGGAGAGGAAATGGAGTGAGTCGTAGTCACAGGCTGCACCCTGCAGACTCCTTCGGTCGCTAGGACATTTGCTGACAGCACAGTTATGGCAGTTAATTTTTTTTACGTTTTGTTAGCTTTTGCATGAAAGTGTCATTTTTGAAGGGGTTGCAAGTCATTTGTGGCAGCTGATATATTGCTTGTAAATTGAGTTATTTTCCCAGCCCCCCACCCTTTTTGTTACACTGAGCTAAGTAGCCATGAAATTGCCTGAATAATGTCGTTTAAATCCAATCTCACCGCGGCCTCTCACCTCCATGCCCAGCTCCCAAACAATGACACATGGTGGGGTTTTTAGAAATTGCCATTTTCCTGTTTGCCACCTCAATTCACAATGGGCAAGCCTTGGCTCATTGAGCGAGGGCCATTGCTACTCTCACTGCTGCGTTCACTTCTGAATTTAATTTTGGGTTCGGAGTGGTTTTTATAAGGCAAACCGTAAACAGCATTTACATGTATAGTGCATTCGTAGCAATGTCTTTTTTTGTCCTTCAACCGTCACCTGAAAATATAACATAAACACATGTGATTATACTCTTTATTATATAAATGCAAAACGACATTTATTTTTGCTACTCTGTGACATAATTGAGATATTTCATGGTCACACAAACCATTAGCATGTATTTTGTTTGATTTTAACTAAAAAATGATGTGTCTTTTTAGTGTGTTTTCAATTTCAAACCAATTATTAGTTTTATCTTTGAAAACATTTAAAGATAGCAGCACTGTAGCAGTCTTGACGAGGCTTCGGTCTGATGTAGATCACCTTAACCCGGTCAGATTCCCAGTAGATGTGTTATAGTTCTTTTTGTGAGGGCTCTCCACGTTCTCCTGGATTGAATACATGTGGAAATGATGTGGCCAAGGGTAAGACCCAGTAAGTGAAACCACTTATGAATGTCAACTGTGCAATTGCAATTAAACAAGCTTTTATCCCATCCCTTCGTCCCTGCTTGCCTGATATCCAGGGCTAACCCAATTCAATGCTAAAGAGGGTCCGAATTAATTTCACAATGCACTGATTTAACAGCGCCTAAGGTACCAGGCTTTGACGGAATTAGTTTTTAAAAAGATCCATTTGTCTAGGGATGAACTTCCACTGGAGGGTTTGACAATGAGATGAAAGGAAAACTCAATTGGAGGAGGGAGGTGATGAAACATAAATGAATGTCAGTCCTGATTTACTATGTATAAACTCTGTTCGGGTTGTTAGGCACTGGGTCCTCTGTTTGCATCTGGTTTTATTCACCTGCTCTTGTAGAACACTCACATTACTCAGTGTGCTTTAGATGTAGTCACTGTACTGCTGCCGGGTTATACTGTTGCAGCAGAGAAGTGGTTATTGGAATTGATTGATTGATCTGACTTTGAGGCTGCCATTGCTCTTGGCTCCTTCAATATTCCTGGTAATTAAACTCAGGTGTGCGGATCTGCAACACATGCACCAGTCTATTTTTTCCACTCATACCCTTTTCTCTCTTTATCTTGAAGGTGAGCTGGCGGTACCCACACATTCCCCACGCTACCCCACTGCGGCAGAACTTGATGCCTTCGCTCAGAAGACGGCCAACAGCCCTCTGTCTATCAAGATCTTCCCCACCAACATCAGGGTTCCTCAGCACAAACACCTTAATCGGACTGTGAATGGATATGACACCACAGGGACACGCTATGGTCCCTTTATCTGCTCCGGGGGGCTGCTCGCCGTCCTCAAGGCCTCTTCATCGTCATCGTCATCAACAGGCACCTTCTTTCCTGCAAAAGGTGTTCTGAAGAACTCCGAAGGCAGACGGACTAAGCTCTCTCCAGCCCACATAGCAGTTGCCCCATACCCGCCCCCTAGTAGTAGCACTTTAGCCAGTGGCCACGGCCAAATGGTATACCACACGGGCCCCTCGAAGCCTCCTGAAGGCCCCGTGCTGTCGGTTCCCCCAAATGTCACTGTAGCTGGCTCAGTGATTCCTGTAACAGGGGGCCGAGGCCTGCCCCTGCCCGCACAGTCCAACCTCCCCTCCATCCAGAGCATCATCTACCAGATTAACCAGCATTGCCAGGCCCAGGCTCTGCAGCAGGTGTGCCAGGGGGCCGCCACCGTACCGTCTAACTCTAGCCCCTCCAAGCACGGCACAACTGTCATGGGGGTCTCTTCAAGCTCCTCAGGTGGAAGCTACGTGGTGGGAATGGGTCCCCAGTCTAACATGCTGTACACAGGGCCCGGGCTGCCTGCTCAGAATGCAGAGGCGATGAAGACGGGCATGTACGCAGATGGTATGGACTACATCCTCTGGCAGAAGCATCAGCAACAGCAACAACAACAACAACAGCAACAACAACAACAACAACAACAACATCAACATCATCAGCATCAACAGGCTGTGCTCCGTATGTACAGCGGAGGGAGCGGTGGAGGGGGCGCCATCAGCAAGTCCCCCGAAACTTGTGTTCCAGGGGGAGGGATTATGGGGCCGCAAATGTCCTCCTCTTCCTCCAGACCTTACCACCTGACAGCCAGCGGCGGAGGCGGGATGGACAAAGTTAGCTCCTCCCCTTTGAACTGCGTGGGTATGCATGGAAATTTCTCAGTGGGTCAATACTTTGCTCCGCCGTGGAACAGTGTGCTGGTGACACCTGACAGTGACTGCTATAACCCCCAGGAGCTTTTGGCTAACTCTGCAGGAGGGCCGGTCACAGGGCATAGAGAGATGGGCTACCCCCACCACCATCACCACTACCATCATCCTCACCACCCTGCGATAGACAGCGGGGGAGGTATGTGCTGCAGCCTGCCCAGCAAGAGTATGTGCAACACATCGGTGCTGAGCAGCAGCTTGCAGTCTCTGGAGTACCTGATCAACGACATCCACCCACCCTGCATCAAGGAGCAGATGCTTGGCAAAGGCTATGAGACTGTGTCAGTGCCACGTCTGTTAGACCACCAGCATGCACACATCCGCCTCCCTGTTTACAGATAGAGGGGCACGACGAAGAGGAGGAAGAGAATCAAGAATTGTGAATTTGTGAAGAAAATCAAAGTTAAAGAACCAATATGTTTTGTTTTCTGGGTACAGATTAATAAGAGTGGCACTGCTTTAACTCGTGTGGGAGCTTAGAGAAGAGCAGTGGTTGTGCTGTGTGACCATTTGGTTTGGTGGTTTACAGGCAGGCTGTGGGAGTCTCAAATATGAAAGTTGGTGGTGATTTGGGAGAGAAAAAGGGATTTCAAGATTCTCCAGATGTTCCATTGTGTGGTTTGCCAATAGGAATTTTGGGTTGATTTATTATATTATTTTTTCTTCAGTTTTTTTATGTTGTTTTACTTGCCTGAACTTTTTGATGAGAATCATAGCTTGACATGAAGTGCTTACGGCACTTGTATCCCCCTTCCAAATACTAAGGATGAAGCTACTGTGTAGGTTGTCACTGAAAGGGTCTTAAGGACCAACGTTTAGGGCTGCTTTCAAAATCCAAAACTCTGTAACGGTACACACAGATACACACATACAGAAACACAATGTACTGATAAGTGAGGGGTCTCAAATTATACTCGGGTGTGTATGTAAAAGGATCATAAGGTTGAATTAAAAGGATAGTACAATATTAGTTATTATTGCTGTTATAATTGATTCATAAATTGCACTGCTTGAATCTTATTGACTTTGAAGTTTGAAATTCGGTAGTTTGGTTATGATATATTTAAGAAACTTGAAAACTTGAACCTATTTTTTGTTGTTTTATATATTTGTAGGTATATTATATGCATTGGCTGCTATGGGGAAAGTGTCTCAAATGCTTTTTTTCTTCTTTTTTTTTCCACTTTTGATTTTATGATAAATCCTCCACAAGCTGATGTGCAGTCTCTTATGTCCTGGTGTAAGGCAAAGTCGCTGCTTTGGTTCTTTAAGGACCTGGTCGAACCTGGAGAGCTCTTTTTCCTAACCAACACTGGAATCTACAAAAAATCTTGAAACATTTATTTAAAAAAGAAAATGTCGCAAAAAACATGAAAAAGAAATGTTACCATGAAGAATGTGATTGGGAGGTTATTGACATAACCTTATGTGTATGTTTATGCGTGTATGTTGCTGAGTGCATGCGCGTGTGTGCATTTTAGTTTGTGTTCTTCAAAATCCTCAGACTTTGTTTCTTTTTTTTGTGTTATTATAAGATTTCTACCACCAAGACTGAAAAACTGATTCCCATAAACATCATATCTGAGTAATGTACAGGAAATATTTAGCAGATCTCGCTGTCTTTTATCGGAGGCTTTAGGTATTCTCTGGAGTTAGAGGTAGAGATCAAGTTCTCACATGACTCCTAATAGGAGTAGCAAATACAAAATGGAAACAATCATGCTCTCTGGCATCACGGGAAATGAGAAGAGGCTCACTGCTTCCCCTTGTCCTTTTTAGACCCTGGTTGCGATACATTTAGCCAGGGCCAGTCTTAACTTGATGATTCAGAGCAGTGAAATATTTATTATGACTGTGAGATTCCCTTGAATGTACTGCACTTAAATTACTGCGATGTTTTATTGCCTTGTGGGACTCAAGCGAAAGAGAAAAATTGGATCAGTGCAGCAGTCCTCTGGTCTTAAATTAGCATTTCTTTTGTCCATCAAATTTCAATGGTAAATTGAATTTAGTAACTGGAGAGAGGGAGCCGGAGCTTTGTTGTGAGGAAAATACTGGCATCAGTCTAGATTTATGAAGTGCAATTATTATGACTGTATTAACATTTTTCTCTGAGCTTACACCAAAAAATGTAAACTACAGTTGTCAATACATTCCCAATGTACCACATCCCTAATCCCTATCCTTTTTTCTGTTTTGAGGTGTAAAATAAATTTCTTTAAGAATATATTCAGAAGCCACATCCTGGCATTGAAGTCTGTCATTTTTTAATGTATGTCCTCTACACGTCAGTGTGAAATTGGGCCCTTGTGTCAGCAGCAGCTCTCTGAGATCCAGAGCAGACGTGGTGTGTGATGTAGATCCTTTAATGTGCTGTAGCGATTAAACCTCTGTCACTAAAAACTGTATTTAATTATTCATATTTTAAATGTTTACACTTTGATCATCCAAAGAAAAGGACAGACAGCATTGTTCAACAAATAATGGATTTACACATAAATATTAACTCAAAGCATCAAAATACTGTTTCTTAACATTTATAAACAGACCTGTTTTTCCATTAAAATAACTCTCGCTTAATCCTAACTATGAGCCTTAAATGTTGATCCAATTGTGTTTGTAGACACACCACTGTCTTTGAAAGCTGACAAAGATTTTAGTGGAAATAATACCAAGCCCCTTGGCTTAAATGTGCACAGTAAGCCTCCTTAACATTCCTGTGAAAATGTTTCATGTTGTTTCAACAGCTTAATACCCCACCCACACTGTGATTCTAGCATATTTTCTGTCTTGTAGAAATATTTTGACAGATTTACAGATACATCCCGTTCCTAAATCCCCTCCGTTTGGCTCCTGCATCCAAGCATTAAACCCTGTCACATGATGTGGAAGTGGAGAGGAGATACTTCAGGCAGTGGAGCTTCTGGTGTCTGGCCTTTCCAACCAGTGAAGGTCTGAGGCACCAGGCCCCTCTGCTAATGGGAATATTGGGTGACGCCTGGCTGCTGGACACTGCCAATAGAGAGTATTCATTCACTCAAAGGGTTGAAATAAAACCCTTTTCAAATAACAAGGGATTTCCTATTAGGCACTGCAAGGAATCTGGCCATTTTAAGCCCATTAGAATGAAACAGAAAAAAGACGACTCCTAAGAAACCAATTCAATTTATATTTCAGCAGAAACATAATAGTCAATTTGCACGTATAACATATAGGGCTGACATTTAAATACTTGAACCATCTTTGCTTTGTGGCAACATGTTTTACTGTACTGGCTCCAAACTGTCTGTCCCCCTGGTCTTTTACACCCATTAATGAGCTCCAATTGATGGGATGCATCTTAGCCCTGCAACTGTGCTCCATTCCACAATTCCTGATTTGGACAATGGACGCTTAGCCCATGTTAGGATAATAGAATAAAATTTCAAATAGATTTGTGCCTGAGCTGATCCATGCACGGCTCACTCAGCTGCAGAGGCAGAGTGGCATATGGCATGTCATTATCTAAGCCCACCCTCCCCCTGTCCGGGGCCAACAGGGTTCAGCAGTGCTTAAACAAACTGAAGGTTAGGACTGGCTGGCTGGCGTTGAAGGGGAGGACAGCAGGGTTTTAAGGGGGGGTGGGGGGGCTAAATCACAGCCTCCGCAGCGTCTCGGAGGGCCTCAGCGCCGCACCATGGCGCCTGTGCTCAGAGGCCTGCTTTAAAAAGCTGTGCTGTGTTTGATCGAGGGGATTTGTTTTCTGTTGGATTATACATGGTTGCTCCCTGCCTGGCTGAGGGGCCCTGTGCGATGTGACAGATCTCAGCAAAAGAAAGAAAGAGGGAGAGAGATACAGGGAGGGATTTGGGGTCAGAGGAGCCTCGAAGCATCAGTAATCAGGATAATTGCCATGTTCCTGGTGCTGGTTTCAGCCGCCCCTCCTCAGCTCTGCGGCCTCATATTCAGATTCAACCTCTGAGGAATCACATGCCTCCCTGTAAGACTTATTGTGCCTAAATTTACTTAATTATAGTAAGTGAAATATTGATTTGTAATTCAGTTTTTAATGCTTGGAATAAAAAATGTAGAGTTACGTTGCCCAGGAAATGATAGATTACTCAAATCAGACATCATCTGGTGACGACATTTAGATCTATAATTTATCTGTGTGGCTACAGACTATCGACTGTTAACACGCTTTCAAGGGCAATGAGACGCCCGCGAGAAAGGCCTGAGGGCAAAGTGGAGGGGAATTGACTTATGCTGGTTGTAAAAATCCCTTAGTAAATCCTAATAAGTCCATGAAGACCTTTACCCAGTGCAAAGGTCTAGTCGCATATTATGCACCTTAAATACTGCTGAGCAGGAGAGACAGCGTTCAGAGTAGGGTCAGCTCTTTCAGTCTCACAACAGACGGGACGGGAGGGTGGGGAGGGATATAGAAAATAAAGGCAGCTGCTCGCTCCGTAAGTCTGGGCGCTGCTTCTCAACCTACAGATGACACGAGAGGGGGGCGCGGGGGAGGGGGGGGGCGGTAATGGGTTGATGTCACCCCCACCACACCGCTTTGGTCATCCTCAGTCGTGTCCCCTGGCTGCCCTTGGGCCCCTGGGGCTCTCATCTCACAGTCCTTCCCAGCATCCCTCCCTAACGTCTGCAGAAGATAAAGTCATTGGCTCCTACCCATGGATGTATAATAAGAACTCCTACCTAGCAAGAAAATACTTTAATCAATACTGTAGACAGTCCTGAAGAGGCTTGTATAGTTGACCCACCAGCCTTATAGCTGTGTTGCACAATATCAAAAGATGTGTTTTTGTTTCGCTACAGATTTACAGCACATTGCCATCTGTTTTTGTGCTAGTGAATACAACTGAACGGGCTATGTGTGAGTAAACAAATTAATGTTTTAAAAAGGTAAAAATTCAGCACAGGTCACAAAATAAATCAGGATATTTCTTCAAAGGCACAGACCCACAGCCGGTTTCTAAAAGCCGATGCAGCAGGTTGTAATTCCAGTAGTTTACAGCTTTTTATTTCTTCAGCGTCACAACTATAGGCCTATGTATGTTCAGCTGAAAAAGCTTATGGCCTCCATATATTCATCTAGTTTATGTGCTGGGTATATTGCTGTATCCAATCCAAACACAAAAGTCTGGGGATTTTGCTTTTTTTCTTCCTGTTTCCTTTTACTGTTTGTGTGGCTCTCAGAATGTTCCTGTAGACAAACAGGGCTGTTTTTCCCAAATGATCTCAAATGCACCAACGCTGCCAAAGTCTGAGGGTGCCGCAACCTTGAGAAAATAATATATATGGAAATGGGAAATCTTATTGTTCTCCCTGCAGTGTTGTATTTCTGTTTAAAAAATGATTTTGTCTCCTCAGGATGAAAAAATGTAAAGAATACCTTGCTTTCTTTTGGAAAATGATAATATATGAGTCTTAGATTTCGAAAGAAGAAGTCTGAATATTAAAAAAAGCTGTAAAATCCTTTCGTTGTGGGGTTTTCAACTTTTGAATGTGCCTACAGCCAAGCATCCCAGTGATTGCTTACCTTACCCTCTCTCCAGTTCTGCAATCTCCCCCTAATCTCCCCACAACCATCATCTTCAATTTGCTCAAACTGCCACTGTCTCCCATCCCTCCCTCCCTCCCTCCCAACAACCACGGTAGATATTTTTGCTGTTCCCTGCTTTTTGTCAATCTCAGGACGGAAATTTCTTTATTTCAATGTAGATGGTTGGATTTCCTTTGACCTCTCCTCTCTTATGTGTTATTGTTTGACATAAGTAAATAAAGCAGATGACTTCTACACCTGTCTTGTTGCTATAACCATCCATTGTCTTTACTTCTTCTCTCTCTTGCCGTAAACATCTTCGAAACAATTTTTAAGACTACCAGTAATGCAGGTAATCATATAAGTCTTAGGATTCACTTCGCACATACACCGCCATATGCCGGGCTCTACAATCCTGTTGTTCACTTGACCTTTTCCACCTTTACAGCAGAGTATTGTGGCATCACTAAGTATGCTGGAAAACAACCCACAGTATAGACAGCACACTGCACGGATGACATTTTTCCTGGATGGGGATTTGGAGAAACTGCTCTTAAGCAGAGGCAAGATAAGTATCTAATGCAATTTACCAAAGTGACCAAGACAAGATGTCCTTTTCTGAGGCCTGGACAATTGAGTCATAAAATAAGGGAATATTAGCTGTCTCAATTTTTTTTTATCTAAACCTATTTTGTTACCAAAGAAAAGGACAGCCACTGATATTTGTTACACTCCGAAAGGTTCCCTGTGATTTCTTTCCACATTTTATTTAAATTTGATCATTAGCTGTCTATATTTCAATGCCAAGCTATTAGAAATACTTTGTGCTTTTTGTATTTTTCCTTAAGATTTCATAAACTCACTACAAATGTACTTCCAGAAGATATGGTACACCATGTAGTGTTGCATTCTGATATTTAGCCACACAAGTAGCTTCAAGAACTCACAATTGATGCTTCTTCCTCCTTTCTCTCCTTACTCCCAACCTCTCCACCCACCTGAAACATCAGATAAGCTGCAGACTGATGAGCCGGTCGCCTCCACCAGAGCGTGTGGTAGTGGGAGACTGCACACTGATTTCATACACGCTCGCTCAGACAGAAAAAGAGCTCTGTGGAGCAGAAATGCTTCTCTTATTAGCAAAACTCATTCACCTGCACGCCACATTGAGTCCCTGGCAATTTCACAATAAATCATGAGAGATGCCTATGGAGGCCGGGCAGCAGGCTGATGCTGAGCCGTGGCCGTGCCCTCGCCTGTCAGTTTAGACACTCTGAATCATTTCAGGTTCAGCAGCCTCGTTTCATCTGAGATGAACTGAAAGGTCATCTCACACACTACCTAACAAATATGTCCGTCTCCTCATCTCCCAGTGCTTCCAGTGATTGCTCATTCTGGTTAGAAATACCACGCCTTGGTGAGATATTTCGCTGGATATTATAGAGGAAATTATTATAAGAAAGGAAATTAGCACCCATTGAATCTATGTGGAACCTGCTTTTAGTTATTAACCCTGGTTTTCAGTTGTTATCCGTCCATCTTTTTTGGATATTAGTGAAATATTTTGTAAGAGTGTGACCAATATGATGTTTCCCTCTGTGTCCAGCTGCTGGACCTCAGGCAGACAACACATTGAATCCATCAGACAGTCTGAAGCGTTAGTTAGTGAATGAAGAACGAGTTGGCCA